TCAAATGTAATGTATTGATATGTTAATGATTGTCTTGATATGTTATATTTACATGTTTGTTTGATTTGGAATCTATAAAATATGGTACGAAGGAGTTAATATTTTCTGTTTAGTTAATGCATTTTAAGTTTTTGAGTTATGATTGTGTTTTTTTTTAAATGTGATCTTGTAAAAATACAAAATATATATATATATATATATAATAAAAAATTTCTTTTTGCATGTTGCATATGGTCAAGTCTCTTAAAAATAAAAATAAAATTATTTTTTTGCTTAAAATATAAATATATAAAAATATGTTTTAGCATTTTTTACAAAAATATATATATTAGCATGCATTTTGGATTTAATAACTAGTGTATTGGATCCATGAGAACTTAGTCAATATTTCAATAACCCCTACAAATTTTAATTCATGAAATTAATGGTCAATATTTTGATATAAATATTGGACCTACAAATAGATTGGTATTTAAATGTCAAAAATTGACCAGAAAATTTTCATAATTATTTTAAATATTCATAAATTTTAATTAAAAATATTTTTTATCCCAATATACAAATTGTGAAAAATATTTTTATTATAAAAATTTATTTAAGCACATGAGCCTATAATATATTCAAAATACTAAATTTATTTACATAAATAAATCCTTATTTTAAACTGTAGAAAAATCATTAATAAAAAACTTATCAAAATTTTCAAATTACATTCAAATCATATAACGAGCCTACCCCAATATGCTAAAAATACTAGTATTTTTTTTATTTGCTATAATTATTTTTTTATCCTTTAAATTTGTGATAATATCAATACAATAATTAGATAGTGACTCTTGGAACACCTTTCACCACGTGCGACAAGGATGACCTTGCATATCTTTTAAAATATTCGTATACAAGATTGACATGTGTCTGCCAAGAGACATTCGTTGCTATTCTCACATATGAGGGAGACAGATATGCGCTCTCCTCTTTTTTATCTGCAACCTAGGCTGTCCCCATGATGTGCCGTTAGGTTTTATTGACAAGGTTTGTCATAGGAAAATTTCAAAATGTATAATAAAAATCTTGTACTCTTTGTCTTTTACTAGGATTTTTAAAAGGACAATTTCAAAATGTATAATAAAAATATTATACTCCTTTTCTTTCTCTAGAGTTCTTGATTGACAGAGTTTTTTATAATAAGGTTTTAATAAGATATTCTTAAAGAGTCTTAAAAATATAATATTAAATGGATATTTATATTCCTTCTACTCTACTCTATTTATGTATATCTCATAAATTGATTTACATATAGATTTATTAGTCATATATCTCTTAGCTTATTTCAATGTGATTATAGTGAAATTTTTTATTTTTTTATTGTGTTTTGTTGATTATATATTCGCTTTCTAGTTATTATTTTATTTTAAATTTATGTCAACTTTTTTATTTTTATAAAAATAAAGGTGATCTTTTACAAAGAAAAAATTCTAATTTCTTCTATCAAAACATCTAGTTACTATGATAATTATTTTTAATTTACTTTGATTTTTATTAAAAAAAAGGTTTTTTAAATAAAAAATTAAATTAAAATCAGTTCAAATTGACCGGTTTCAGTTCAGTTTGGTTATTTTAAAACAAAAACCAGTTCCATTTTGGCTCGGTTTTTTTATTTTCTCGGTTCGGTTCTTTTTTTTTTAATTTTAGACTTATAAAACTAGACCCGAATTAGTTGATTTTTTAAAAATTCTAATTAATTTAATGTTTTTTCATTATTCAGTTTTTTCAATTATTTTTTTTAGTTTTTTCAATTTAATTAATTTTTTGATTTTTTTTCTCATAGAGACTGATACAGCAAGGTCAATGCAATACCACCGAGCAGGACTTCCTGGCTATGGTGACTCACTATACTCCTCTTCAATGAAGGGAAGAATTTATCAACAACCAGAGAAAATAATCGGTGCGGTATGTACTGAGTCAAATCTGGAGATAATATATAGACGGCAAAGACGGTAATATTGAGAGAAAATATAAGCGATGCCGGAACACCCACGAAAACCAAATGCTTGAAACCCTATCGTCTAATTTCCTAAACCTTTATTTTTACAAAAGTGTTGTCAAAATCTGCAGTGAGAATAAATTGAATTTCTCAACTTTATATATAAACAGAACCTCAAAGTTCACTATAAAGAAACACTGAATGTTTCACCAAAAATTACTAGGTGATGGTATTTTTCTTAACATTCCATCTTTAAGGGTCCCAAAACGAGAAAATCGCCTAAACTTATTTACCTTCAACCTAATTGCAGGGACTTTTCTTGCTACAGCCTGCCATATCATTTGAACTGCATCGCCTTCCTTTGATGGATATTGGAACTCAAAGAAGTTTTCTACCTCTTTCAACCTCTGCCACATTCTAGTCCATTCATCCTTCTTAATACTCCTGACAAGGTTTATGAGGAACTTTTCTCTGACAGCATCTGAAGTGCGGACAAATATGCAGAATTGAGAGTAGTCAAGGACATCCTCATAAGGGAGCTCAATATCGTCACTGATGATGACCGGAACGCAGTGGCTGGCAATGGCATCAAAGAGGCGGTTTGATGAGGGCGTGTCACCTGCTATGTTAAGGCAGAATTTGGAGGAGTGCATTCCTTGAGAAGCTTTGCTCACTCCATCCTTTTGTACACTACCGAACTGAAAATGCACGTCTTTTTCATCTTTTAGAGCATAAAATAATTCTTGCCGAGCAAAGCCACCCTGAGTGCGTGAAATCCAAAATTGAAGAATCAAGGAATAAGTAATGTAAAGCCAACCTACAGTGACGCATATAATAATAACAGTTCGATGAAAAGAAATATACTGGATCATCTTAAATAGTTGGTTTTTCAGAATCTAATGGACATGAAATGTGTTTCCGTGGCGGAAAACATTCAGCAAGTCAAATATGTCTTTTGACATAGTGAAGAGCAAGCAAGGATTATAATGGCAGATTTTCATGAGATGCTTTGGTGTTTTTGGAGTTTATAAACACAACCAATCCTCAACAGCAGGCTGGAATAACTACCACAAATGAACTCCATTCATGTGCATATGGCTAGTTCATTACATCTGTAAGAAGTAAACTATATAGACATCAAGTCCACGCTAGTTTCAGAGCCAAAAATTCAAGTTTGCCAATTATTTTACCTCGACAGCTACATGATAAGATATGCACATACAAAAACTCAGTAAGTTGATAAGATGAAATCGATGCCTCAAAATAGAATAAATTATTATTTTATTGGCATGTAGTTTGACACTTGATCCATGAAATTATCATAATCTAGACAATCTCTGTTTCACAGAAAAAGAAACAATGAGGAGGGAACTGGGAAGTGCATGCCAGTTTATGTTTTTAATACATAAAATTGTATCTATAGCTTATTTTTACGTTATGGAAAATGTCAAAAAGAAAATTTTGTGGCAGATAAGTATTTATTGCAGTAGAAATTTAAAAAAAAAAACAATTAACAGCAGAAATAGTAAAGAGGAGGAGAACATACATCTTTCCTGTATATGGCTCCTTGAAAATACAGCAAAGTCGGGCGGCTGTCAAAGTTAGAGGAGTCGTTGGCATAGCTTTTAATTACATGTTTGTATGGTGCAATCACATCTTTGCCAACATTTGCTATATTTGGAGAATACCTCCCAAAGTCTGCAAGTATGAACATTGCCGTCCATAGCTTAATCCTTGCATATAACATGCTATTTGGATGGTGAGCCAGAATGATATGGTCTCGCCCCCCAGACCTCTTCCATTCCTTTTGCGAAGTCACAAACTTGACCAACTTCTCTTCCAATGATTTGTTCTTGCTCTTCTTTTGGTGTGGATTCACCTTGGAATATCGGTTATAGCTTATAGAAGAAAAGAATGGCACAAATATAACATCAGCTTCACTAGAATTTTGAACCCTTACTGCACTACCAGCTCTAGGAATGCCAGGAATCTCTGAAGCAAGAAGATCCATTGTGAGCCAATATTCAATACTATGTTGCAAGTTCAGCCCACCAGGATATGCAGGCACTTTAGCTCTAAGATCAGGCCAAACACTATCCCCCTGAGGTTTCCAATCCAAGAGTCCAAAATGAAACTCAGAAGGCAAATCATACATGAAAACCTTAAGAACTTGATTGCAATTATTATCAAAACTGTTACATTTCACATCTCCTAAATCATCTTTCTCTTGAGGTTTTTCTTCTCCTCCATCTCCTTCATTGTCTACAGGAATTGCTCGTGCTCGATTTCCAATCGAGGCTTCAACATCATTCCGATTCCAGGATGCGGAATTGCCATTATCAATCACAGAATTAAGTTTAGGATGAGGCAACAAACTAAGGTCAATAACTCCGGCACTGCCCGTGGAACGCAACATAAGAAACCATGACAGTATAAACAAGGCAGACACTAAAAAAAACAAGCAAAACATAGATTTCCTAGAAATAACCCCAAGGGATGATGAGGCGTGCTTCTCAGCCATTGCAATACAAATAATAATCCAACAAAATAAAAAATAAAAAGAGAGAGAGAGAGAGAATCAGCTATAATATCTTGTATCAAACATCACATTACTGCCAATATGATTGTCTATGTCAATCACATCGGCTAAAAGATCTCTCTCCCTCTACAATCTCTCCAATATTCTTCAAAAAAATTTAATACCCAACAAACCAAATCGCCTCTAGACTGCATAAAATAGATCAAAATTGATTTCCTCAGCCTACATTGGCTAGAAAGTGAAAAACCAGCTCAATGTCATTCAGAACAAAACCCACCAACAGAAAAAAAGACCAAAAACCACTCAAAAAGTGAAAAGATTAAAAACCCACCAAAGAAATCATATAGGAAGAACCAGAAAAACAAAAGGGGTGTTTCTTTGTTCGTTGTACACGGTGTATAGAAGCGTACCGTAGAAAATAAACGAGCACACACCAAAATTGGCCGTTGTTCTTCTCTCCCTCTCTCTCTCTGCCAGTTTTCTTTTGAGTGCAAAAACAAAACACAAAAGGAAGGACTCTGAAGTTAGCGTGAGGATAGGGTCTATCAGTAGAAGCGGGCTTTGCGCCTCTCTCTCTCTCGTTCTGTTCCCTCTTTCTTTGTCTTTTCCCTCTGCGTGTTTCTTTTGTAGAGTACTTGTTTTGGGCTATTAATGGCTTTCTGTTTTGAGTTTTTGTTACCCTTATTTATATCAAGATGTTATACATTGTAGTGTTAATTAATAATAATAATAATTAAGGGAAATAGTGATAGTAGTAGTTGTTGTTATTACACGCAAAACTCAGATTCTACAAGGAAACGGATAGCTTCTTTGGCCTCTTATCTTTAGCATGTTTTGTTACTAACAAGATTCTTTTGAGAAACGGATAGCTTGAGCTTACCTCTTTAAATTAGTGTTTATTTATGATTTTACTATTTAATAAAATTCATATTTGGATATGAAAATCCAAATAAAACAACAAATAGAATTTTATTGCTTTTTCCTCTAAAATTGTTCTTAATTTAACTATTTTAATGCCTGAAATTATAGTAGTGGTTGTTTTTTAAAAAAAAACTTACTTCAAAATATATGAAAATAATATTTTTTTTTATTTTTTAAAATTATTTTTAATATCAAAACATTAAAACAATTCCAAAACAATAAAAATAAATTAATTTCAAACAAAAATAAATTTTCAAATATCATGAAATATGATTTCAACCATAAAAATAAACAACTCAAGGACTTCAATTGAATAACAATTAGATACTCTTAAATTATTATTTCAAGTAGATATATTTTGAATATTCATAAGGAAAAAAAATTGTAATAGAATTTAAACTTGATATAATCTATAAATAAATATGGATTTATGGATATATTAAATGTAAAAAAAAAACCTTGTGTCGGATTATTTATTTAGTCTTTAAAGAATTTATTTGTAATTTGTTTTAAAGCTAATTTGATATTGTTATAGTGATTATTTTTTAAAGTATTTTTATATTTAGAAACATATTAAAATAATATTTTTTTATTTTTAAAAATTTATTTTTATCATCAATACATTAAAAAGTCAAAAAACAAAAAAGATTAAAAACATTTTCGCATTGCAAATAGAAACGATAACAATTAATTGCAAGGCAACTCCAAGATGAAAAAGAATAATAAAAATAGAAGTCTAGAACCGGAGGAAGACTTGGAAATTACAAGCATTTTCTCTATATAATCATGATCACAAGCTTTCTATACATTCAAACCATGTACTCAAGGGCTTTGGGATTTGAATGCCAAACTACTGTGAATATTTGGGAAAATCCATGTTCTAAGCAGTCAAATTGTTAGCTAAGCAGTTGCATTTTGACGAATTCATTTCTTCTTCTTTTTTTCCATTTATAATTTAGACGTGATATGAAAATATTAATGTATTTATACTTTATTTATTAAAATAAAATCACTACTTTCTTTTTAAAAAAAAAAAAAACCTTGTAATGTTGTTGCTACAGCGAAAGAATTGTTGAGATTATATTTATAAGGTGACCCACTATTAACTTGTCAATATGAACAAGAGACTAAGGTATATGCAATCATTTCGAAGAATTTATTTATAAATTATTGAAATAAGGTCTGATTTTTTGTTTTACTTTTCTCCTTGATGGTTCTTCCAATCCTCTTGCATTTCCAAATTGACCTCGTTCGTTGTCAAGGAATAATGGACGTGGTTGGTGCCATGACTTGTTGGGTTTAGGTGGGAGCTTCTTTTCAAAATCTTGACTAAAAATCTCAAATAAACCATTTTCTTTGCAAAATAATAATTAGTTAACATGTAATTCCTGTTTGAATCCATTGATTTAAGTGATCGAAATTGTTTGTTTTTGCATAAGAAATACTGTTTTTCAAATAATTGATTTTGTTTAAAATTAAATTTTTTTAATGGTTTTAAATTGTTTGAATATACTAATATTAAAAATAATTTTTTAAAAAATAATATATATATATATATATATTCAATTAAAATACACTTTTAAAAATAATTACCATCGCAATATTCTGCGATACTAAACATCCACATTATCTAGGAAGATTGGCCGTCTTTTCCATCATTTCTTTTCTATTGGTACGACTCAAGAGGTATATATATATATATGGCTTATTATTATTATTATTAAATTGGAGGGATGAATTTAATTTTATAATTTTATCTAAAATAAATACACGAAAGCACCATCTAATTGAAAAAAAAAAAGGAATTATTTGTTAGCTTGTGATTCTATTTCGAGAAAGATTGTTAAACCGGTGGATGTACCCTTCCTATCTTTCAAGATTAATCTGCTTATGATCCGGGTTGCTGTTGAAGATGAAATGTTTCAATTAAGAACAAAAGTATTTTATCAACCTCCTCAATAAATAATATATCCAAACAATATATTTTAAAAATAAAAAAAACGAGTTTGTATGCTCAAATTTTGAGATAAAACTAGCATGTTACTCCGCACCCGGTCAATAAAAAAAAAATTAAATTATAAAAAATATCAAGAATATAAATAATATTTTAAATATTTCAAGTCTAATATCATGCCAAATATAATAATTTTAAAATACCTGGTCATACTTTGACCCAACATATACCAAAAATTTTTAAAATAAAAATTAAAAAAATAATGCCTCTCATGATTTTCTAAATATTTACAATATAATTCATAGTACAAAAACTCTGTTTATAATATAGTTTATAATATAAATACTATATATAAAAATATACAATACTAGCGTAGTAATTTTATCATGTATTTTAAAGTATAGTATAATATATGTGTATGTTCGGAAAGATCCCCCTTATGGTACGGGTGCAACCTGGGAAGGTGGAAGTAGAGCAAGATCCAGTGGCTTTATTCTATTGTATTTTTCAATTTACGAACTGAGCCGAAAGAATCAATCTGTCTCTTGCAGTGGCAAAAAGAGACGTGGTCTCAAATAAAATGCTTAGTGATTTGTGAGGGAAGAGTGGGTGACCACGTGGTCCCATTTTTAAAGCCCGTACAATATAACCGACCTGCCACATGTCTATGTATTTTATCACTAATATATAGAAGTTAGTATTGTAATAATAATTGTTTTTTAAAATATTTTTTATTTGAAATATATTAAAATAATATTTTTATTTTATTTTTAAAAATTTATTTTTAACCTCAACATTTTAAAATAATATAAAATATTAAAAAAAAATAAGATTTTTGCGCACCGACTCTTTCGAGCGAGCGGCGGTCCCAAACCACGAGTAATCAGTCCCGCTATTTAAATTGCTAATTAGTCGCAGTTTTGGACTTCCACAACAATGTGGCTAGCATAATCTATGCAAGTCAACGTAACATTTGTCGTCATTATTATTATTATTTCCATGAACGGGCGAGGAAGGCACTTCTGTCTTAAAACCCCCCCCAAGTGCTTGTAATTTAGACGTGTCGATTATAGTTGTATTCATTCTTACATCGATTTTTTATATCACCAATAGATCCGCTTGTTCGGTAGCAGCACGTGCAAACAAATCTCCACACCTTGATCTTGTTTTTACCTTTGAAACGGGTCTTTCTCTGTGCTGTACTCTCTTTTATCCTAGAGGTGGTGAGGTTCTGTGGTTTTGTAAGGGCAATGCGTGAGTGTTCATATCCCATCAACACCTTCATCTTGTTTCTACCTTGGTCTCACGGGATTGATGCCTGCTAAGTGCTAATTGCTACCGTAACTTCAAATTATGAGTGAACACAAGTGCAAGGATGCTCTTTTAACATGTTCAGTTATTACAACATCAAATCAAATTTATACCCTTTCAGGGTTGTGGTTCTTCCAGCATGACAGTTATGTCGTCGCATTTACACGGAGACACTAGACATCTCTATGTATATGTATTGTAAATATAGAAATTCAATCTAAATTGATCTCAAAAGTAAATTTATTTTTTATCTCCATCATCTCGTCTCTTCAACCAGACATGTGTCTAGTAAATTTATTTTTTATCTCCATCATCTCAGTCTCTTCAACCAGACATGTGTCTATTTCTTCTATATCCGTCAGTAACCAAATGCAATCTAAAGTGAAGTAAATTTGTTCAACATCCAACCTTAAAAATCTCAAATCTAGGATCAAGTGAAGTAAAATTTGTTCCACATCCAAACCTTGAAAATCTCAAATCCAGGATCAATTGGAGAGTGAGATTAAAGCAACTCGAGGAAGTTTTTTTCTCATTTCAAAAGTGAAAGTAAGTTTTTTCTCAATCTAGTCTTCTTATTGAAACCAGGAGAATGATGAATACCAATCCAAATTGAGGGTCAACAAAGTTTTCAAGGATCAGAACTGGAACAGCATCTCAGGTGCATATCCAAGAGCTTCGAGGTGAGCTGCCATGGCCTTGTTCATTGGTGGTGGTCCACACCTTAGAATCTGTGGATCGCATGATGGAAAATTAGTAGCAATTGTTGTAATTTTCTTTCAAGTATATTTTATCTTTCCCTGATTTCTCATGATGAATGTAAGAAAATCAGAAACATACCTTGATATCAGGTGCTGGTGCAGGGCAGTAGGTTTGAATCATTTCCTTTGATACAAAGCCAACACCACCATCCCATGTTTCGGGAGGCTAGGGAGGAAAAAACATCCACCAACACAGTTTGGTTAATCAAACAGTCAACATTGACTATACCACATAAAACAGACATCTATAACCCATTATGCGTGATAAACGTGCTTCAGCATGAAGGACCTACCAGCAGAACAGTAGCTATAATGCATGCACAAGCTTGTGCAAACATGATCATGCCATCAAAATGTAATTCATCCAATACAAAATTCAATAGATTTAATCAGTTTCTCATGGTTGTATCACAGGAATTTGCTTGAAGCAGCTATAAGCTGGACAAGGAACTCATGTTGATATTCCATTTAGGATTTCAAGACCATTTTTATCTTAAATTATGACCAGCACAGCACAATATTTGTGCCCCAACAAATTGTGAGAAGATTTCATCGAGGCTGGGTTGGGTGGGGTGGGGTGGGGTGGCTGTTGAAGTATAATTTTCAATATACAGCCAGGCTAAGCAAGGACTCTCTCCACTATCTATTGTATTTGGAAAGGTAGCTGAGCAGGGAAAAAAGTCGTAAAAGAAACTAATAAGCAAGTTGCAATCTT